CATAGTTGGTTAATTACCCTTGAATCATTTGTAAGTGTTTCTTGAGTGGTTATGGTGAATACTTACAATTAGATGCAGTAACTGTAGTGTAAGAAACGTGATACTTACTCACTTCTAGAATTCTTCATTTTATGTGTACTTGTTCACGTTGACCTATTTCCACATTTTGGTACATATTGACTGATTTTAGAAACTAGGACCGGTTATGGATCTTTTATGAGTAGGGAACAGTTGAATTTCGACAATGAGGACTTTGAATATAATCAAATTGTGAAATAGTCAAGTGATTAAAAACAAAAAGAAAATTTAACTCTGCATAAACTCTGGCTTCGTACATGCAATCTGCCATAAACTTTAGAATTTTTGTTAAAAATGTAGCAAAAAATGTAATACAAATTTGTTCTTTTCTGCGTTTTTAATTATTTTACTATTTCACAACTTGAAACGTTGACTATGTCTACGTGGAAGCAAAAATTTCTATTAAGAAACAGTACAACTTAAACTCATCGAATAAAATTCCTGAATTAGAATCATGCAAAAAATGTTACGCGTGATCGTCCAACTCCAAGTCATACGTTCCTGAAGAGAACCTAAAAACAGAAGTCGAAACGATGGGGAAAAGCTGAAATAAATATATAGAATACTATAGAATATATAGATTAATGAAAGTTTAAAAAATAGTTAAAGCCACGTATCAACAATTCCCAGTTCAGAAGTAAAATTTGATTAAAGAGAATACCAAATATTTTGTTGTGACAAATGAAGTTCGCTTAACTAAAACAATAAAATAAAAATCCAATAAACTGAGTTTTACTTTACATTTTCTGAAACATGAACTATTTATTCATATTTCACTTACAAAGTGGGATATTCTATATTTGAATGCGAACGCTTCAAAAATATAAACTGGAAAAGTTTCATGTTGACATTAATACTATGCAAAGTAATGCGTTCTTTTAATATTTCTAAATTCAAAGATATGATGCCTTCTGGTTCATAAATATTTATTTCGTTGGTCAATGACCGAAATCCTCCCTCGATTGGTATTCTATCTGGCGAATGCATTAATTTATATACATATATTCACGTAAAATATGCAATATTCGAGAACGTAAAAATGTTCTCTTGCCAGTCAGGTGTTTTAAAGTGTTGCGTAATTGTTTTCTTAGGGAACGAAAATTGAAATTAATATAAATATCTCCAGGAATCTCGAGCACACTAACCGAACAAGACGACTTTCTCATTGTTAGCAAAGCCTATTATGATATGTTGCAAAATGATTGAATGTGGCGCGGTTAACAAGCACAGTCTAGAAAGCAAGAGCATTTGGGACGCAAATCTATTAAGAACTGAATGAAATGTATTTACAAAACGCATTGTTTGCCCAGCACACGTAATTACGGTCACCAGCGTCACGTAATCTAGCGCGATGAATAGAATCTTAACACGAAGATCGAGTTGTTGAATGCGAACGTGGAATGCGAAATAACTCTTAAACTGTTATGTTTGCAATAGTCGTAACTTGACACTTTTGTATGCGGAATGACGCGAAGAGTTAATTTATGTTTCAAAAATGCGTGATTCCATTTAGAGAACAAACCTAATTTGCGTTTCATCAAAACAATTAGGTCATCGACAGATAATATTCATTATGGGATGCAACTTTTCCTTTTATTTAATATTCTCTGCGTTTAAAAATTAAATACACATTTTCATAGTTTTTAGAATCACTCTGTACATACACTACTGTTTAATAGTGACATCGTGGACATCTCGAAGTTAATAAAATACTAAACTTTCTGTGCGTATCAACATGAAAAGTGATAATTCAATTACTTTCTCAAGCTGCACGTAATAAATGAATTTGTATAAGTATTTGAAAATGGGAGTTTTCGAATCGTAACAAAGACTATAAATTGAATTTTTCTAAAAAGATCTACTTTCATGAAGTAGACGAATTTTAGATAAAAAAATGTGTGTTTCAGATAATAGTGTCCATTAATGACACTGATAAAATGAAATTAGTGTATTTGAAAGAAATGTTTAGTATATAATGTAGCGACAATTCGAGTCCTTGGTAAAGTGTATATAGATAAACAGAGAAAGGGGGTTAAGGAAAATTTAGGTGAACAATTAGAGCAGAAGGTTTATCGTCCTCGGCTCTTCTGAAAGAAATCGATGCCCATCGACTGTCGCAAAAAATAAACTCCTATCCCGAACACTAACGTTCATTGTCCATGAAGAACTCTACGGATCTTGCTGATCAAGGCGTTCGCTGGTCTTATCACAAAAACTAGTCTGTGCACTTAAATCACCGTTAGCAAAAGGGGAGATTCGAAGCATCTTCAATAGCATTGATATAAAGTAGCCATGAACAATTTACTTGTACTTCCGTTTAAAAATATCTTTAGTCTATAATACATTATATACTTGGGTTTAAGAATATATTTGGGCTATAATACATTATACACTTGTATTTAAAAATATGTTTAGTCTATAATACATTATATACTTGGGTTTACAAATATGTTTGGTGTATAATACATTATATACTTTGGTTTACAAATATGTTTGGTGTATAATACATTATATACTTGGGTTTACAAATATGTTTGGTGTATAATACATTATCCACTTGTGTTTACAAATATGTTTGGTGTATAATACATTATGCACTTGTGTTTAAAAATATGTTTAGTGTATAATACATTATGCACTTGTGTTTAAAAATATGTTTAGTGTATAGTACATTATGCACTCGTGTTTAAAAATATGTTTGGTCTATAATACACTATACACTTGTGTTTAAAAACTGATTTGACCCGAATGTCGTCTTCAAGCCAGAACAAATTAGAACGTTTTTGATCATAAATGTTACTACATGTAGTGTTCTATATTTTCATGGACTATATTTCATTAGCGTCGTAGATATTACTGAAGGTGGTTAACAAATTATCTGGAAACTTTCTAATTCGTTTTCACGTAAAGGCTATATGTAGGCCAAATATATGTGTATTTAGTAGTACATAATTTACTATTCGTATTAAAATGATGCATAAATAAATACGTGGATATCCATCAGAATCTCAGATTTGGGCAAATATTTTTTTTAAATAGAAATAAGAAGTAATTATTTGCAATTCAATGTTTTATTCGCGTATATAAACGATTAATTCGGAATAATTTAAAAAATTATCAAAGAATAATTTATTGATTACTACAAAGCAAAAATTATCTTAATAATGATCAGGTTTAGATAAACATCTGAAGTTATAAATCAAGTTTTATGTGTATTATTTAATATACTTTAATTACTATAAGAATATTCGCCATTTATAAATATCGGGAAAATGATATATTTGCATGCATTACGAAGAGTTCAGGAATTGTTTGCTGATTATCTTGTGCTGATTAGGTGATAAGGTATACAATATAACTTACATTTGCAATAGTATCGATACTTTATGTGTTTATGGTGCAAACGTCGATCAATACTTACGTTGAAATTGTTAGTATCTGGCGATCTGATCCGTGTATTTAATCTCATCATGACCATGTATGTTGGTATCTATTTAATTAATTTTACTGGATACCGCCCTCGGAATTCATTAATGCTTCTCCATTTAGAAGTTATGTAATGTCATTCAAGCAAACAATTTCATGTACAAACAGAGCTCAATATTTATATTTAAAAAATTGTATATACACAGCACATATTTGATGCATGTCTATATATTAATTATACAATAATGTAATTAAGTATACAATATATTTTAGACCCCAATTTTGTTCTCAATCACATCTTCGATGCTTGAAAAAATATAATTGCATCTGTGTCTGTACATTAAATTCAATAAATCGAATTACATTTATAGATTCTGAAAACATTTTTAAGACGAAGACTCGCAACATAAAGTAAATAATGGCTTGTTTGGGACTCGAAAATGATCATTCTTTAAATTGCATGGATACAAACTAGTCTAAGAAGAAGAGACATATATTTCCAAAGAAAATACATTAGTAATTTTGAATTTCACTTCTACCCTTTCGAGTAGCGTTTATTTTAATCACATTTTCTGATTCGAGATACAAACAAACAGTAATCATTGAGCTATGTGAACCTGGCACCCGACTTTTCAAAAATTAATTTTTTTGTATAGAAAATAATAATATTTCGTTTGTACTTGATTACACTACTAATAGTTTCGTTTGTACCTTCATCAATTAATAATTAAAAAAAATTCAAAAAATAGTCAGCACCCGACATTGAGATTTTTGAAATCTGTTTTTCTATTTACTCTTTTTATTCTTTAGAATCGTTTGTACCCGTTTGTACCGCTTTTTGTTTCGTTTGTACCTCAATATTTTAAATTTTACAAGGAATTGTTGATACGGTTGAGTTATAAAAGTTAAACTATTGAGGTACAAACGAAACGAAAAGCGATGCAAACTGGTAAAATCGATTCTAAAGAATAGAGAGAAAACAGATTTCAAAAATCTCATTGTCGAGTGCTGACCATTTATTGAATTTTTTTTTTAAGTATTAATAAATGAAGGTACAAACGAAATATTAGGGGGACCAGAAACTAATGTCGTTTCTGCGAATGCAAATACTTGTTTATTATTTACCAGCTCACCGTGTACCAATCAATTTTTATCGATCAGGTATTGAAAATTTGCGCACTAGATGGCAGAAGGTTATTGATAACGAGGACAATTACATAATTGATTAAAAATAAAAACATATTATACATTTATTTGTTTGAATTTAATGTAAAAGAAACGACATTACTTTCCAGTCTACCTAATTGATAAAATATTAATTTTTTGATAATGAAATTCAAAAAATTAAATTAAATTTTTTGAATCTTTTTTAATTATTAATTGATGAAGGTGCAAACGAAACTATTGGTGGTACGATCTAATACAAACGAAATACTATCATTTTCTATAAAAGAAATTAATTTTTGAAAAGTCGGGTGCCAGGTTCGCATAGATTAATCAATGCCCTCGAATAGAAAGTCGACTACGTTTACCGCGAACATATGTAGTCAAGTTTCCCGCAAAGCTGAGAAAATCAGTGATTTTTAAACGACTTTCTGCTTGTCATGTCTCTCCTTTTACTGCTTCATAGTAACGCATTGGCGACGATTGCTGAAGCGGAAGTGCTTCATGTTTCAGACGGCATTCCTGACGGTAGCTCTTCTACCATTCAGACTGGCTGCAATTACGGCTCTGGTGATCATGGCCTGGCTCCTAGCTTGTCTAGGTCTCCTTGGATTGTCCGAGGAAGATCTCCGTCGAGCCCCTCTGAAAGGGTGGAGACGGTAAGACATCAAGCCCACCATTACGTGTTCTTTCCATTGCGCTTTTTGTACGTACCATTTTCTTGTTCTTTTTTTTTTTCTTCTTTTTTTTCTCGACCATGCCTCAAACCGGCTGAACCGTCTAGAAGCTTGATACACGTTGGGTAGCAGTTTCCAAGTAAAACACGAGCAAATTCATTTTCAAACAGAAAAACATTCTCTTTACCATCGATTCAGAAAACTCGACATATACATGTATTTCTCGCATCTGCATTCGCTTTGCAAGCATAACTCGCTTTTAATTTCTGTATTAATTGTGCTCTTATTTTCCATTTGCTGCGCTTGCCTTGTACCGCTCTCGAGCCTATGGTTGTGCTCCGCTAATTTAATTTTCAGTTCGAAATTTGGTGCCATTCGTGCGCCTCCGAAGCGCGAAGTTTGGAGATTGCTTTTTTAAAAATTTTATTTAGAAGATTTGGAATATGAATATAAGGGAAATTATTTTTACAGATATATCACAATGTGTGCGAGGACAGTAGAAGAAACGAAGTAATTTTTCAAGATAGAGATATCAAAAATACATGTGTATTACTTGGTATAAGAAAGTAGAAACAAAATAAGCTTTTTATTTTGATTTTCGGATATTATTTCATGCGTGTAACAGTTACCACACGGAATTCCTTCACCGCAAGAGTTAACCACTTGTTTGAAATTTCATTCAGGAAGACATGCTAAGATGTGAGAATAATCGTAAAGGAATTTCATAGTTATAATATTCAGTAAATTGATATATCTTGTTTTCCACGTTATACACAATATTAATTTTGCCACACACTTTATATGTTCCTACAAATTTTTGGAGTAGAATTTACGGAAATTAAAGTGTACTATTTTTAATGTTAACCTCTTATTTATTTTCCTATTAATTTTATTTCAAATTGGTTGCTGTACAAGTACTTCTTACACTGTCTATATAATTTTATGTTCGATTGGCCAATATTGTGTATAATTGTATAAGTCACATTTCGCACAATTACAATTCTAATTAAAACCAAAATACTCTCTTACTGAATATATCAAATAACATATGAATATTTTATTACAATTGCTTTAACATTCACTTCATTTGTATCTTGTACTGGCCCAAAACATTGTAATTTATTTATTCAAATACTCTCTCGTACATTTCCTCGTACTCCGGATCATTCGGATCACCAAATAATTTTTAGAAAAATCTTCATCACCGAGGAGAACCAAAACAACACAATCCGTACCGTTCTAAATAAACTTAGGAAGATTGTAGATCACCTCAGGTTTAATTTTGAACAAAAAAAAAAAAAACGAACGCTGCAGTAATTAATTTTCACAAGGTTCTTGCTCTTATCGCATTGGTATCACATTTTGCCTTGAACTTGAGCATGACGTGCGTTTATTGTGTCGTCGAGTTTAGTTTCGTCCTAAGGAAGAAAGTTGAACGCGTCGGGAATCTCCATCTGGAGAAATAAATTCCTCGAGATCTAGCAACGGCGAAGCAAGAGCGGAGGCGACGCTAAATAGCGGAAGTCCGTTGAAGAATTTCATTTCATGAACGCATACTTGAAACGATTGAAGATCTCGGTGGGGAGAGAGCGTGAATGACCGCGGAAAAGAAACGAACGAGGATACGATAAAAAGAATAAGTAACGGGAGAAAGTATGCGTCAGACAAGTAGTTCGCGTGCGTCTACCTACGGAACGCCTGATCTGAGGAATTCAACGTGCGTTTTCTTACGGATCTATCGCGGTTGCTATGATTTACCTTCGTTCCGACTTCTTTCGTCGTCGCAGGAAGTGCAACACTTGCGTTTAATTTCGAGTCAATGATACATTTTATCGCTGCGGTCGGTGACGCGTGATCCTGTACATAAAAAAACTGCAATCGTCTGTAAGATTCTCATAGGAGGGGGCCCTCCAAAGTTAACCTTTCAAAAATTCAGTGCAATTGGATTCACATAACGTAGGATGAATTAGGTTTTACATTCGAGATACTTACAAGGGAACATATCCAACTGTCCGTCTCCGATTTTGATGAAACTTGGTGGGTACATTAAGCAGGTGAAAATAAGGGATACGTATTTTTTTATAGCTGCCCAATCGCAAGTTTAGGGGTTGAAAAAGTAGGAGGCAAATGTATCGTATTATATATTAATGGATTCGGTAAGCAATTTCCGTTCATTTTTGTCTAATTATATAAATTTTTCTATCTCTTACAATAATGTAACAAACATTTTTTTTTGTTATAAACAAATTACATTTTACAAAATCTGTGACCACTTTGTGTCTTACCTCATGAAACCATGAAACTTTTCTCTAAGAAAATTTCTTGTATCTACTGTAGTTTTCGAGATAGCATTTTTCTGCTGGAACTTTAAGGGGTGATTTCAACCCCTAAACTTGCGATTGGGCAGCTATAAAAAAATACGTATCCCTTATTTTCACCTGGTTAACGTACCCACCAAGTTTCATCAAAATCGGAGACAGACAGTTGGATTTGTTCTCTTGTTAGTTTAAAGAGATATAAATATTAATATTTATTTTCTTGTATAATTGGTGCGCTGATGCCTAAGGGAGTGGTCCTAATGAATTAGATATTATTTCACATTTTACAAAGAGTGAACTATTATAATGTGTCTTGCCGCAGCTTATGCCTTGATAGCTATGAAAAACGACCTTGTATTAATATTTCTTTTTAACTTTTAAGCGTTAAACTTTTTAAAATGAAATAATGTTTTATATCGTAATAATTAGAATATAAGGTATTCCTTTCCATTTTTAATTTATTTAATGAAATGGGCGTAAATTAATTTAATTGCATTGTACCTTCACCGTGTGAATTTTGTTTTTGAACCTAGACAATCGTGGAAGGAAAAAAAGCTGTATGGGTTCTCTGAAGAAGGTTTCTTTCTTTTTTAAAGCAATTGGTAATCGTGTTAAAGCATACCAAAATATTTATAACTCTTTTGCTGTATTTGGACATTTTTATTTAAATGAAATTTTCCCAAGAAAATCTGCTGGAAGTATTCTAAAATATGTTAGAAGTTTCTTGGACTATAAAGGTTAATCTGTCGGTAATTTCTGTTGAAAATAACACACAACAAATAAAATGAAATAATATAGCGAAAATTAGTATCAGATAGGACGTAATTTGTTTTAGGGTCTCGATGAAATGAGATTGAATTAAGAAATGTTTTATATATTTCTTTTTTAGTTATTGGTCCCATGAAAGTTTAACGCGTCACTGTCTGTGATACTCTTCAGCTGAAATCGGGTCAATAGAAACGCTACAAGATTTCTTAACCCTGAATGGATTTCTGAAGTTTCGATTGACCCGAAGGCATTTCTACATTATTTACGGCTGACTTTATCCGATTCGATGACTACTTTTTGCCTCGTTCAACTACATTTAGACTGTGGATTTTGTACATTTATTTCGTGTTTGATTGTGAGAAACACTAAAAAAATTTATATTTGCGGCTAGTATGATTTATTGCAGTCAATATTGGACACAAATAGGCAAACAGGCATTCGAATTTTATTGATAAGATTGCTAAATTATAGTTAAAATCAATGTAGATTCCAGAAAAATTCTACAATCGCTTTATGTGGTATTGATTAGGTAAAATAATCAGTATTTGTTACAAGTGAAAATGTATCAACATTATTTACGAATAGCATTATTTTTTTCTTATTTACACAAGAAATGCAGCTAATTCGAAATTCTAAGGCAAAAATTCGTGGTATTGATTAGATAAAATAATCGATTACTATTTAATACAAGTGAAAGTGTATCAACATTATTTACAAATAGCACTATTTTTTTCTTATTTACACAAGAAATGCGGCTAATTCGAAATTCTAAGGCAAAAATTTGACACAAGTCATCCTAAGATTAAAGAAATTGAAAGTTTGAAAATATTAATGAAAGTAATATTCAGTATCAAAATAATAGTACACATTAACCCATACTGAAATAACAGTAATCCTGAAATTCACAACTAAAGCATGAGCAACAGCTCTCGTCATTTTTACTTCTAGATACCTTAAAATTAAGTCACAAAACCACTATAATTATTTACGAAATTCAAGATACAGATAAAGAAAACTGATAATGCAGATAATATAAATTACTTACTCTTATCATGTAGCCTATAATAGAATTTCTAAAAACTGATTTATTTAACCTTTTTTATCAAGTAATGTGACGTATAACTATCCTCGATATATTCACATGCAAACGGTAATTAAGGTAAAACTTTTCACGAACCAGAATAAAAAAAAAAAAAAAACAGTGAAATTTCAGTCCAACATTGATTATTAAGTTTGCATGAAATTGTGGTCGCTTCGCGATTCAACTCGCTTTTGCTTCGCACGTGTAGTTTTAATTATTAAATATTTATCAGTAGAAGTAGAATATTGATTTTATTGTTTATACATTTTTAAACTCGACATACGGTTCGCATAATTAGTCCCTTGAAATTTTATATATAATTATTTCAGAAATAATTCGAGTTGTATTTTCGATTAAACATTGGACGCATATATTCAGAATCTCTATCAATCCATTCTTCCTTTCTTTTTTTTTTTCGTTTTTTGTTAGGTAAATGTACCCAATTCCGTTCATGTTGCATTTTCAACACGATTCTATGAACAATGTTGTTTCGTTTTCTATTTAAAATTATCATGGTCCCTAGTAGATATCAGTTCTTAAGGGGGTATCCTGAATTAGGAGGTCTAAAAAAAGCGGATTTTCGTGAATTTTTTTAGGATGGAAGAGAATAATTAATTCTATCGAACTTTTTATCCTATTTTCATACATATTTGAGTAGTCTGTAGAAATTTTTTCAACAAGAAATATTGAAATTGAGTCGACTGTGACGCACATTTGTAGAACACCTCACAATTAAACCCTTTTTTTTTTATCAAGTTAAACTAAACTTGAACTTAACTTTTTAAACTGAACCCTAAACTTTTTTATCAAGTTGG